CGGGGTTAGGGTGGGAGGTTTAGGGGGTGGGTTAGGGGGATAGGAACCGTCAATTTTAAGAACGGAGCACCGGAAGTACCTCAAAATGACAGTGACACTGCTAGTGTCACCAAAGGTGGGTGTCACTAGAACCCCACCGTTTTTCAAAACATCATTTCAATTCTAAACTATAAGCCTTCCTACGTAAATACAACACTTCAAAATGAAAAGGACACCAAGGTATATCCACATGCCCTCAGCACAAGGGCTACACACACAAGGGAATGCAATTTGAAGAGAAAGAAGAAAGAATAATACTCTAATAATATAAAGTGTGTTTGATTATATACGCACCTAATCAAGGGCTCAAAACTTCGAGCCTAAACCGTCTAGAATGTCCAACAAATTAGCCGTGGGACGTTCTGGCACGGTACGTGGAGAGCTTCCGGTGCTCCGACTAAGCGCCCAAATCTGTCTCCCCTTGTTGGAAATGCCAAACTCTTGGCTTTTGCTCATGCCAGAAACAATGTTTCTCCTTTTCATGGCTTCTTCCAACAATGCCTTGTCTTCTACAGAAAGCTGACCATTGTTCTTTTTCTGGTCATTGGGGCTCAATATTTCTGCAGCGTGCGAATCAGAAAGACAAGGAGGCCCTCTGCAAGCCGCTGATCTTCCCGGAGGGATCCTTGGGCCCTTGTATCTTACCAGCCCAATAAGGCGGTGGAGCCAAGTCACAATTTCAAGGATAAAAGCGTCCATTTTCTTCTTGTCTGCGTGGTAGAGTGTCTGCAAGCGGATCAGGTTGTTCTGAATAGTTGTCTTCCTCCCAAATTCACTTCTGCATTATTATCAAAGGATGATGATAATTATATCAATTAACACCTTTTTAACTCTTTGACAGATTCTTCAAGAAAATGTCTAAAATAATGGAAAATTCAAGAGCAAATTCTAGACTGACCCGGTGGCCCACTCTCCAACCCATCCAAAACCTTGATGCGCTCTGCACCAGCAGCCGAAGGAAAGAATTAATCAGTCAGGTCCCAGTTATCAGTTTCCCATTAAAATCTACAGAGTATCTTAGTTTTGGAGTATATTTAACCAAGGCTCCAGTTAGATTTAAGGTAAAAAAGAACAGGGCCATACTCTATATAAGAGATAGAGATGTTTACCATGTAATCTTATGTAATTCTCTGATGGGTAAAACTGGGAAAAAGGTTATAAATGATTTCTATATTTACTACATGGGCAGATAAGAAGTACCACACAGCTTCAAAAACTGCACAGATGAATTGGACCAATAAACAGTGATTTGTCACATACTTTGAAGTATCAACGGCTAGTGGAACAAGCCACTGGAGAGTCTTCTCCATTTCAGCCTTGATTTGCTGAACTGTTAGCTGCAAAACTCCATCATAGAACGAGTAAGTGGGGATATGCAATAGAAAAAACAGAGGGAAAAACAGGCAGAAATGAACAAACAAGTCTAAAGAAATCAACCTCTTCCTCCTTCGTATCAAGTGCCTGTAACCGAGAACGAAGTTCTGTCTTTACAACAGGTGGCAACCCATTGTACAGTGTATCCCTTGTGTTCGGTGGAAGAGAGGTGGGGCGTGAAGCCTAACATTACATTGAGTCTCATTAGAGTAAACACAAACAGTACCCTGGAGGACCAATTCCACACAATTGAATTTTTTGTACTTACAATGTTATCTATTTGAGTGATTAAGTTAGCATAATGCAAAGCAAGACCAGCAGCACCTAACCTTTCTGGTTTCACCGGAGGCTCCTTGCCCGCGTGCTTTAGTGCTTGTAAAATAAAAAAGTATCAACAGACTAACAGAATGGATTTTATTGAACACGGCATACACTCGGTATTGTGCAGTTCTACCATAGTTAGCAATTATAGAGTCCTTTTGCTCATAACTGAAAAAAATGACAGCCTTCTAGATGAATAGAAAGATCAAAGCTAGAACCTACTTTCAAGCTTGTTGTGTTTGCTAATTGGACAATTATTTGTCGAAACAATGTCCTTAGTAGTTAATGGAGGAGTCGTTCTATCCTACATAGGTAAAAGAATACTATATAACCATTTGTCAACGGAGACTTATATGCACTAATCAGAAATGAATTGCTCACTGAATAGAAGTTATGGACTAAGTAATCACACATGAGCTGCTCACTAAATGAGCTGTCATTACACTAGAGAAAACTTATATGGTCACTAGCTAGAAAGGAATTGTTTCCTAACAGCGAATGTATAATATTCTTGTACCTACGGTTGTACGATAGAATTTCCATGAATGGAAAGTTACTAGAGAAAGAAGAGAGTAAGAAACAAGAAAAAGAACAATCATGGCAGAAGTATACCATCATTTACAAATGCTTCCAAGATCTCTTGATGAATGAAGGTTACGGTATCAACAAGTTTACCGACAACCCACAATGAGAAAGTATAGCATCACTAAGTGGATAATTGCACATTCATACTCCGTAGCAAGTTTACAATTAAAAAGCTTTCTGCTATCACCTATGTCAAGCTTTGAGGAAGTTCTAGATAGACTTCTAGTAAGACTAAAAAACAAGTAAATATAACTGAAGGACACATCCTTGGATATAGTTCAAGAAAAAAAATGTTTTTTTTGGTGGGGGAGGGGGGGGGTTACCTCTTCTAAATTTTTGGACCAAAGAGATTTCTTTTTTAATCCCCTCACGATTTTACTTTGATGTTTAACATCACTGTGCAACATCATTACACTCTCTCCTACAAAGACAAACTATATATCAGTTATAGAAAAGGAACTCAATTCATCAGTCATAACTCGTAACTCAAAAAAGAATATAAGTCTCAAGTGATCCATATTCCATAATGAACCTTTCTTGGGAAGACTTAAAGACTCTAATTCCTCAATTTTCCTTCGGTAATCTTGTTCAAACCGGTCCATGGCATGCAACTCATGATACAATTCCTGACACAGAATACGGATCCAAAAAATCCTTCAATTCTAACAATGTGATTCTAGAGAAGTACGGAGTATTCAAAGCACCTAAAAGAAAATCTTACAGAAGTATGCTGAGCAAGAGTGCAAAGTTCTTTCATAGTCGTATTAACTTCCTCTCTGAGTTTTTTGTGACTTACACCCGATAGAGGTTCAGAATCCAACCTGGTCAGAGGAAAGCACATTACCGTACATCCACAATATATGACAACTATCTCCGCTATACATGAAATAAAAACATCTGACTTACTTTGAAAAGAACCGATCAAGGTTATGCCACTGTGGATCTTTACACAGATTTCCAAACCTCACTACTTCACGAGAGAAAACTTCAAATTCCTCCCTATAATGCACGTATAATGTTAGGATGTGGTAATTCTCAAGAGGACTTTGAAAGTTCTCAAAGGCTTAAGGTCGTTAACTTAATTAAGATCCCTCCCAATTTTGTTTTGCTAGCAGTTTTTATGTTCCAAACAGGGAAGAATAGTTCAAACATATTGTTAAGTTTTCCTTTTTATCATTATGGATGAAGGGGGGGGGGGGAGGGGGAATTTAACAAAAAAATACACACCTTTTGTCAGCAGCAGCTATAGCAAGAAGCTCATTGGAATCTGTAGAAACCAGCTCTTGCACACCTTTTGAATG